GATGAAGGTACAAGTGGTTACAGACAGACATATTATAAATATTTCAATATTTTATTTGACACCAGTACGTTTCCTGGATGGCGAACGTTTTTTAGCCGGACGAATATCAGTCGTTGATCCAGCTCTTTTATCTGGTGACACTGCTCGGTTTCGAGAGGATGTTGGAGGTAATGATTCTTCATTGCTAATTCCCATTGAATTTCTTAAATTATTTCTTCGCTCAGTCTCTTCAACTACCTGATTATCGTCAAATTCATCGTCATCTTCCTCCTCCACTTCGTCTACAACTACTGTTTTTTGTTTGCTTTTCACGTATCGCGTTTTTTTCATGAAAGATTGCACTTTTAAAAAAAATGATAGTATAATTACTTTGATGGTAATAATTGCAAGCAATTTTTCAACATGTTCCTGAGGTTGTGAAAAAAGGTTTTATAGCTCATTATATAGAGAATTGTGCGCTCTACAAAACGCACCGACTTACATTTTGCGGGAAATCTACTGGATGGAGAAAAATAAACTTTATTGAAAAAATTTTGTTTTTAAAATTAGTCATTTTTCAAATGGTAGGCTTCTGAAAAGTCCAGTTCCCGGTCGAAAAAGTTCAGAAACATCTGATTTTGTTCATTTTTTGATGGACTTTGGAATGAGACGTCATTTGAATAGGACGGATAAAATTTGATTAAGTTATAGGCAAAATATCACGGAGGGCACTTTTTTGAAAATCTTCGATACACCTAATTTTATAAATTCGATAACTCGGCGAAATCAAGTCCAAACGACCTTAAAATTTTTTCATAACCCCAGTTTTGATCATAGACTCCAAAAATAGAAAAAAATATATAGATCAAAAAATTTCACTTGATCGACTTTTGGCACTATGGTGGATGTGGTGGCAAAATGTCTCTTAACAAGAATTCATGAAAAAAACGTTCAAACGCTCCTCAAACATTAGGGCGTTTAAACGCGTTCGACTCAAACACAGGTTTTTACAAAACGCGTTTAAACGTAGCTTTAACGCCCAAAACAGCATTCAAACGCGTTTTTCTCAAAATTTTCCGAAAACCAGCGTTCAAACGCATTTTTTCGAACGCAAACGATTACATGAGTGGTCTCTGTCAAAGAGGTTGGCACATCAGAACCTTCCTAAATAAAAGACACTTATGCATCTCGTTATGTAAAAATTGAAATACAAGACTCCTGGTTTTTTATATTTGTTTTCTACTATAGTACAGGACGATACTTCGATTAAAAGCATAAACACGTCTGCATGAGTACAATATAGCCATATCAGTGTAACGATAGCATCATATAACAATATCAGTGATAATCAAATAACTGCAAAAAGAGAAGAATTCCTTTAACTCAAATTTTACAAAAAAAAAATGTATATTAGTCACTATGACGCTTATACATTCTTTTTCTTTTCCGTTTTGTGCTTACAGATGTGTATATCCACGAAAAAAAGTTAATAAAATAGCACGGTCAGAAGCGCGTCTTTTAGAAGAATAAAATGCGTCCTGGAACGCATTCTAAAAGAACATTAAAAGCGTCTTCAGGACGCGTTCCAGAAGAATGCTAAAAGTGTCTTCTAGGGTGCATTTTATTCTGCTAAAAGACGCGTTTTGGACTGTCCTGTTTTATTAACTTTGTTTTCCATGGGTAGTTCAATGCGACACAAAACTTTGATTATAACGCGACAAATTTAGAAAAAACATGTCTATAATGTATTGTAACGCATTAGCGTAACGCGTTACGTGGAAAAAACTACCCAAAAATTGAAATTAATGCATTTTTATCAACGACTTTCTCATATTTTATAATGTTACAACAGCATGGCAGTCCCGGATTTTTCTGGAAATGTCTTTTACGAGAAAACTATGTATTTTCGTTTTGAATATTGTCGAACTCGTTGTAACGCATTAATATCTATCGTATTACACCGAATTCCATTTTCATATCTCATTGCAATAAGATAGAAAAGAATAATGCATTGTAACCTATTAGATATTAACTCGTTACAATACGATATGCATTATCTAATGAGTTATAATGCTATAAAAGATTTTTCCAAATTTATTGCATTATAATCAGGTAAAACATTGAAGGTATTATAACGCATTATATTGAAGTAGAAAACTCAAACGCGTTATAATACATTAGAATCCAATGTATTATAGGGCGGTAGACAAATCTAATTGCGTGTAACGAGATAAAAGATTAAAACGCATTATAATGCCATAAATTTATAGAGTTGTAATGCAATGAAACTTTTATTCAGTTACAACGCCATGAATTCCTGATAAATAACTTTGCAACGCGTTATAACACGACGGGCTACGTCTATTGCGTTGTAATGAGATAAATCAATAGCGTTGTAATACCATAATTTAAGAAAAAACATGTGTTATAGCGTTATAACGTTATAAATAGGAAAAAAAAGATTCTGTAGATTATAATAAAGTGCTACTTTATTATTGTGTGAGGAGTAATAAAGTAAATAAGTATTGCTTTTTCCTAAGAAAGAAGAAGAAGAAGAACATACCTATACCCAGAAGGGTGTCGGATAAAGATTCAACGAAAAGAAACAGTAAAGTAGCACTCTGATATGATATATTCATAATATTAGTATTGTTGTTCATACTCTGGGTAAACTGATTCAAATGGTGATAATATTTGTCTTAAAAGTGCATTTTCTAAACAACCATTTATAAATTCCTCTTTTGTTAATATGTTATCATGATCAAGATCGAATTTTTTGAAAACATCAATTGTGATTATTTCTGGATTATAATTTCTCAAAGTATTTTTGCTAGTGATACATAATAATTTTGCTATTAAATCACTCATCTCTTTTAGTTCAATTGTTTTTGATTGATCAATATCAAACAATGAAAAGGCATATTCCAATTTATCTTCGACTTCACCGATGGATGTTAAAACATAAGCAATAAGAAATTCTTTAAAATCAATATAGTTATCGCCTAAATGAATCGTAAGTACAGAAGATGAAGAAAACTGTAAAAGAAAACAGATTTACCATTTTTATCAAATGCACAAAATACATTATCGACAATATTTTCCACATTTCTTGAAGAACTATTTTCTAATTGTTTATAAAGTTTAACAAATTGTTGTTTGGTCAATTGAACTTTACTTGAATGGCAAACTTCGCGAAATTCACGATACCATGATTGAATAATTTCTGGTGTTAAGTGTGTTTGTTTCATTAAATAACGATAATCATTCACTGATAAATCTTCATCTAATTTATCAGTATAACATGAGGGATGACAAGAATAACGATTACCCATTTTTGTGATTTAATATAGAAAAAATAGCCCTACAGAAAAATTCGTGTGTATTTGTTAAAACTGTCTATGTGTATTAGGAAAAGCACAGAAAACTTCTTTGTTTGTTCCTGTAGAGATAATTTATGTGATTAGAAACAAAAATAATTTAGATACACATCTGCCAGTGAAAGAAATACAATCAGATAATAATATGAAGAAGAAAAATATTTTATTTTTATTTTACAAGTTATTCACGCTCAACAGTTCTTTTTCACAGTTATTGGCTAGAAATTTCTATTTTATTCTAATCAACTAAATAATGATGCAGTGACAAATTCCATTTGAATTCTAAGGTTATCTATCGAGATCTTACTTTCTATGTCACACTTTTATGACTTTATGAATGTTCTAACTTTCCCTGTTTCCTGATTCGCTCAGTCTACTTTACAATCTTCCCGAAGAGTAGCTGGTCTCTAGTTATCGTTTCTATTAGATTCCATGCCGATAGATACAAGGGACTAATGAGGGAACCTCTCGAGGTGATAAAACGCTTTTTGCTCGAAATCTAGTGGGTTGTAGGTTATCAACCATACTGATTACGAAAATGACCATCGGAGTGTCTCTTAGCCCTTCAAAGACCCGGTTTTCTAGCGGACCAGTTTTTCAGAAACTCTAAAATATAATCAGAACCTTTCTTAATGAGACATGATTGTAGCCCGCAAATTCCTGATTAAAATGAGACACCTTTCAGCTTTACACG